CCCCACTCCCACCTCCCCACCCTCAAAATTCCCACCCCCTGGGGCATCCAGCCTTCATGAGGTCAAGGTTCTCTTCTTCCACCTATGCCCAGCAGGGCCCTCCACTTTTACATATTCAGCTGAAGCCCTGGATCCCCCCCCTAAGTGCTCCCAGGCTGGTGGTTTAGACCCTGGGAGCTGTGGTTGGTTGGTATTGTTGCTCTCCTCATGGTGCTGCAAATCCTTTCAGCTCCTTCAGTCTTCACTCTAACTCCTCTATTGAGAACCCCATGATCAGTTCAATGTCTAGTTGTGAGCATCTGCCTCTGAATATGTCTGACTCTTGAAGGCCTCTGAGGAGATATCCATATCAGGCTCTTATCAGCATGCACTTCCTGTCTTCCACATCAGCATCTACCTTTGGTGATTGCACATGGGATAGATACTCAGGTGGAGTGGTCTTGAGACTGCCCCTCCTTCAGTTTCTGTCCCTCACTTTGTCTCCATATTTACAAGCAGGCTTCTAAAGCGTGATAATAAATCACATTCAAGTAAATAACACATTGGAATAAGACAAAACAAACAGAAGAAAAAACGCCCAAGAAATGGCACAGGAAACATATAGATGGAGATCCCAGTTGCTTCCCACTCAGAAATCCCATAAAAATTTAAATTATGTAGAGGAATTTTAATCCAGCAACAGGGCTGCTCTGGCAAGGGATCATATCCAAAGATAAAACCTCCTGGAATGCATACACATCAAACACATTTGATCTCTCTGACTGGAATACACGCCTTAGATCCCTCAAGTTGGAATACATTCCTTTTTTGTTGTTGTTGTTTTTGAGACAGGGTTTCTCTTTATAGCCCGGGCTGTCCTGGAACTCACTCTGTAGACCAGGCTGGCCTCAAACTCTCGAACTCAGAAATCTGCCTGCCTCTGCCTCCCAAGTGCTGGGATTAAAGGCCTGTGCCACCACCGCCCGGCTGGATACTTTTAATCCAATTAAGGGGTAGACAAAGTGATGAATAATAGAAGATTTAACAAAATTAGTCAAAGATAGGATGTGTCCAACTCTCACAAGAATAGACAGTTGAGAGAGAGAGAGAGAGAGAGAGAGAGAGAGAGAGAGAGAGAGAGAGAGAGAGATTGAATTCAATTCAATTGTGTGTAGTTCAGTTGGAAGAGTTCAGTTCTGAGCAGTTCATTTAGGGGACATAAGTGTGACACAGTTGTGCTCATCAGTTCATTTCAGTGAAGTTTGGAGCAGATCAGTTCATGGCATTCAGGGGGAGCCTTTCCAAGCAGAGCAATCAAGTCAGAAGCCAGAGAAGCCAATTTGAATCAGTCATCTTGGAGAGGAGTTTCAGTCAGAACAACTGAGCTAGAAAGAGTGTGTTTATTCAGCAATAAGCCTCAGAGGCTGAAACATTCTAAGGCTAGGTTAGCACACAGAGGCTGGACGCTCAAGCCTTCAAGGTCTGGACTTGCAGAAAATCAGGTAGTATGGAGGCTAGAAGCTTCCAGGTCAAGGCTTTGGGAGACTTAGGTCAAGAAGGAAATTCTCTGGGCTCAGCCCAAGTCATGTAGTCACAAAGCTTTGGTATGGCTCTCATCTCATCCCATTCTCCTAGGAAATAAAATCGATATTTACATTTACAGAATCAAAAACCATAATATACACTCAAAGGACATCTAGGGCAAAAAGAGAAAAATGCATATGAATAAAACAAAAATAAAAATAATATAATTAAAAAAAATAACATGATATAATAAGATAAGGAACCTCCAAGGATGCTGTAGAGTTTGTTTTCTGTTGGCTATCTATTGCTGGGTATGCAGTATATTCTCAAAAGTAGGGTTTTTTTTTCCACTGAGACTTCTTTGGAAAAAATTAAACTATCATTTGCAGGTAGATATCAATATGAGATAGTTTTTCTGTTAGGAATAAAGTATGTGTCCATTGATCCTTTTAATTCTATGACTATCTGGAGCAGACAGGTGCAGACCCTGTCTCACACTGTCTCAGTTCATGTGAGTTCATATGTGTTTGAGTTCTGTTATCCTTGGAAGCCTTTTTCTGGATAATACTGAAACCTAGCGCCAGAAGTAATTTTGCCCACTTGCTTTTAAGTACATTATACTCTTAATTGGTACAATTTGGCCATTTGTTTTTGTGTTCAGTTTTGATTTTGTGTTTAATTGATTTGGTACACTGGCTAAGGTAGGAGTATTAGTAAACTTTGGTGACAGTTTTTATCCCCCACTCCAATATTAAGTTCAGCCACTCTTCTTCAAAACTCCAATCAAAACAGCCAAATTAATAATAGAAAGCAGAAAAATATTCAACATGGACACTCTGGAAAGAAGTACAAAGAGATCAAAGTCTTCCAGAAGTCAGTTTTCTTCAGAGGTCTGCTTGTG